GAACCCCCCACACCCACCCACCCACCCACCCACCCACCCACCCACCCACACACACACACACACACACACACACACACACCCCGACACCGTGGGTGTTTTCCCTCCCACTCAGCTCGTCCCAGGGAGTATGTTAGGGTTCGGGGTTTAGGGGGTGTCGGAGGGTAGCGGACCTACACCTCCTTCATCCTAAGTGCACTAACCCCAAGAGAAGCTCCGTCTCCATCTATCCCTCAATCCCAGTGCTGTTGCCTGTTCGGGAGGTTTCAACAGCCTAGATCGTCAGAGTTGGATGGTTGGGGTTTGAAGTCACGTCACAGCGAAGAATACTGCTCGCAGTTAAGACTGCTATCTAGAGCCTCTCCTGGTCGATTGAGCCTACCGATCCCCGAACTGCCTTGAAACATCGCCGAACCAATCTCGTAGCCCCAGTAGTTTCAGCTGCCATCCCTAGGCGTGGTTAGTGCATCAAACTTCTGGATGCGACTCAATTACGCCAAAGGTCGCTTGNNGTACATTTGGCTCTGAAGTCCTGTCGTCGAGATGTCATTTCGCGGATGGCGAGCCCTTATGGGGTGTAGGGTTATTGCCTCCGTTTGGCAGGCTGTAAGCTATACCAGTCTGGGGCAGGCCATAGCCGACTGGTGCCTGGCTAGGGTTGGACGATGTAGTCTGCAGCCTTCGGCTGAGGGGTCAGGGGCCCACGAGATCTTCCAGGAGTCTACGAATCTCCCCAGCCTCAGAGCCAGGTTAAGGGCAAACCGGCCAGGGTTTGTGGTTCGGTCCAGGGCACAGGCTTTGGGTTTTCCGTGCCGAGCTTCAATGCGGAGTTTCGGAGTCTTGGGCTTTAGGTCCTATTGCTTCTGGGGAACCCAGAGCCACAAATTCCGCACCACGCCTCATCGACTTTGTCTCTCATCTTCCGCAGCCTGGAGGCTGGCTTCAAGAGGGACCCATATAAGCAAAACGTATAGGGATCATGTGTGTGTGTATATATATATACGTACGTACATACATATGCCTCTACACACACACACACGATACCGAATTGCTTCGACCTAGCCAGAAACCGTGATAACTCGAAGATGTGATCCCGTGGCTGCTTTCTGCACCCGGAGGGGGCTCAGCAAGCAAGTACGTGGACCACTTCTGGCCCTGTACTTGACAGTCCCGTGATCCTCCGATGCACCACATGTACCCAACCGAGAATCGACGGCCTCCTGCTCCCAAAAATTCGAAGCCAAAGAAAGGAGTTGACAAACAAAACACCCAAGTGGCTCTAAACATCGGAAACCTCATAGCCTCGAGGCCCCACAGCCCACAGCTCAAAGTGACCGGACCAACACAGATCTCTCTGGCCGACTGTTCTTGGTGGTTCGGAGCACGATTTCTGGTTCGTTCTCCCTCCCTCCCTCCCGCGCCTTTTACGCGTTGTTTATTTTTGTGAAGTAGGACTATGCGTCGCATGCCGTGATGTAGTACTCATGGTCGCGGTTCGGCGAGCACGAGCGTACAGGTCTTTTGGAGCGCACAGCCTTCGAATCCTCGTGTCCTCGTGTAGCGCGCTACGATTGCCATGAAAAGCTTGAGCTGGAAACAAGTGTCATGAGTTTCCAAAGCGTTGGTTCAGTTCTTGCATTTTGGCAGGAACTTGCATTTATCGGAGAACAAGGGCAAGCAAGGCGTGTCCGGTTCGTCCAACGCACCCGATTCTTTGTAATGGCTCGAAAAACAGTAGACTTCAAACACCCAAATCCGAACCTATAATTAAGAACGTTCAAGGGAATTCGTCTCAAAATTTCAGGGGTTCCCTCATGTCTGAATCTGTTAGAACCATTCCGATGGCAGAGTCGGGAAGCTTCGACAGGAGCTCCGAATCGGCAGCGAGCTTTTCCTGAGGCGCAGCAGCTGTAGTTAGTGGGCCTGGATAAGCTTGTTTCTAGCCCTGAAACCCTACACCTATGCCTGCATCCTGAATTCGAGAGCATATCGTCGGTAGCGTTTCGAGATGCTGGAGTTTCTCCATTGAAGTACGGGTCTTTCTATATTGCCCACGGAAATCCGATATTTGACGATGTTTGACGCCTGCGTGGAGCGCCTGGTTTGAAGCTTGAACCTCAAAGCCTCGAAACTAGGTCCCAACCCGGTGCCCTTACCTCTAGCCCAACTGAAAGTGATGGTTCTACGCATTTGCAGGGACCTGTTCAGGAGAAGCTTCATCGAATGATGCCCCGTAAATGGCACCGAGCTTGCCCCTTCCGTTCCGCTGAACCAACGTCGCAACAACCCTTACGTCAAGCACAGCGGCCTTCTTGCTAGTGTCGTCCGGGGCAAGCTTCCTGGGCAGCTGCGGGGTCAGAGGCCTTGTTTGCTAGAGTTTGGCAATTCGGTCGGAGTTCACGGTATACGTCATATGTCATATGTCTGTCGCATACGAGGTCCCACTCTACACCCAAGCTCCTGCCAGGAACCAGTGTCTCAAGAGACTCGGATTTCATAAGCTTCGGTCGGTTTCGGTAGGGCCTAAAATTCTTTGCGCACGGTTCTGCTAGCCAACAATCCGTGACTAACATCAGCACCATCACCATCACCGTGGTCATCACTACCACCAACTATAGTCGTCATCGCCACCGCCATTGTCAGCATCATCGTCGTCGTCATCATCACCATTACCTTGCTCCAGAAGCCCAACCCGAAGCTAAGCGGTCGGAAGCCAACTGCCACTTTGTCCCAGCTTCCGATAGGAGCTGTCGAGCTCCCTCTCAGCCTTGTAAGAGTCTTGTAAGAGAGGGGCGAGGTGTGGGGTTTAGTGGGTGAACCTCAGTTCAGCTAGTCGGGTTATGTAGTGCTGGCTTTCGGGTGTTGGTGCTTCGGAATCCATGTAGGGAATCAGGCGTTGTAGGAAGAACAGCTTGGGTCGGAGATTGCCTTGGGGACCCGTGCTAACCTTACAACTGTCACAGAACCAAATAAAGCCTTTCACAGTTTCCAAAAGGCATCTAAACCCTAGGGAAAAAAACTCAAAACCCTTTTTTGCATCAGGACTCGTGCAATCGCCTGAAGGTCTGAGCATACGGAGGTTCAGCTCTCATGGCTCCACTTCCCTACCCTGCTTACACACACACACAGAGACACACGATCCATAGCCTAAACCCCAGGCCCTAAACCCCTTTTTTTGAGGAGGGACTGCAATGCACTAAGCCCTGAATCCCTTCACCCCTCAACCCCAAAATGACAACCTGCGCTTCTGTAGCCAGCCTTGGTCACCGTGGAACGAAGCTCGCGAAGCTGGGATTCGAGCTCCGTCTTCCTTTTGGGTTCTCATGCTCTTTCAGAGGTAGGTTAAGGTTCGTGCTCCTGCATTGCTGCGCGTTTTAGGGTTTAGTTATGTGGTTTGCGGATGTCTTTTGCAGTGCTGGGTGCTTGGCTGTGCTCCTTCCGTTCGCGGTCTGAAAGGTCTCTACGGCGCAATTAGACTCCCGGCTGCAGTTTTTTTCCTCAGGGATCCTTGAGTCTAGGATGTATGGGGTCATGGTGGAGATTTATATCACATAGGGCGGAGGGTCTGGGGCAGGAAGTTGGGACTTAGAGTTTTTGCTATGCCTAGGGTTCCAAACCTCACGGCAGACCAATCAGAAGAGAACTGCTCGAAGGAAGGAGGTCCACAACAACACGATGTCCATCGTCAAACCCCGTCCCTCGAAACTGGATCAGGGAATTCCTGATTCTTGAGCATGCCCCGAAACGGTGGATGTGACCTTAGGAAAACTCCAGAGGCTTCGGACGGGATTCAGGCATTGGCTCTGGAACAAAGACTACTATGCCAACCTTACAAGCACCGTTTGTCTAATTAATTACCGCCATAATCTACTCTTGCTACGATGATGGCCTTGATGATGAGGATGATCATGAGCCTGAGCCCGCAACCCCAGAGCCCGAAGCTCCCAACTGCTACCCTCGCACGCTTCCCGGCTCCTCTGCGTGAGCTGCTCCATCCTCTTCGTCAGCGCAGACTCTGTGCGGGTCTTGGCCTCTTCTTGTTGGGATTTCCGGCTCACAGACATAAAGAAGCCTCCGCAAATTCGGGATCCTTGCTGAGCTTCAGGATAAGACATAAGTTCAAGTTGGGGTTTCCCAGAATTACAGAGCCTGCTGGACGGGACCCCACGTGCATTGAGATTCTCCTCCCTGGATCCTCTTACTTTGGGCGTACGTCAGGGCGAGATGCCGTACATTTCCCCCGCATGCTCCGCAAAGATTATTGGAATCCCTAAGAAGGAAATTGCAATAGCTGCTTCCTTGATTGTTATGATTCTCAGAGGCCGCAACTCTCTCCCATCACTCCATGAACATCGTTTCGAGCATTCCTTAAATTGAGACTTCGGGCCTCCACTCTCCCGAGTTACATAGCCTTGCAGATTGTACTTGACTGGCTTAGGCCAGAAGCCCCTTTTTGCATCTTCTGGCCCCAATATGCCTCAAGACTCTCATGCTCCCAGAGACGGGCCCTGGCCCCCGTGCGACGCCTCGAAGTTTGGGCTTCGGGAGGTCTAAGTTGAATGGTCAATCATCAAGGGATTTCTTGAGCTTCAGGCCCCAACAACAAAAACAAAATCACCCAAACCAAACCCGCTGCTCAGAATCGCTGGGACCCAAGCGCCATCCTCAGTTGCGGGAGACAGTGTGTGTAATGGAGGTGGGTCTAGGGTGTGACAGATGTTTTGGCAGCCCCGGATTATCTTCCTTATAGGGTGCCTTACGATTATAATTACATTTACACTACAGTATACCCCCTAACCCCTACCATCATACACGATAGCTGTGTATGTATGTATGTATGTATGTATGTATGTATGTATGTGTATATATATATATATACATGTAACTGTATGTAAATAAATACATAAATATATATATATAGAGAGAGAGAGAGGGAGAGAGAGAGCGAGAGAGAGAGAGAGGGAGAGAGAGAGAGAGAGATATATATATATATATAGGTATGTATATCATGTACATTCCATTCTGCACTTTAGTACACTGCCCAAATCCTACTCTTATCATCAGCACGGCCTCACGGCCTGGGGATCCAAGAGTTTGGAATGTCGGGACAGAGTTTGGAATTTTGGGTCAGCCTTGCGGCTGCCTGAGTTTCTGGGGTTCGGTGGAAGGTTTAGGGTTTAGGGCCGTTCCTTGGAGGTAGGTACCTGGGCTACGACTATATAAGCTGAGCTGCCCATATCGTCATATCACAGCAAAACCTGGGGAGAAAACCTGAAACCCAGAGTCTCCGGAGTCCACAAGCGTCCCAACCACAACACACTACCTTTGAACGCGAGACCTCCAAACCCCATGGCCGTTAAAACTACAAAACTATGTAATTGCTGCCTTTGGCCCTTGAGAACTGTTGGGATCTTTTGCCGTCAGAAGCTCAATACGTCTCTCAACCTCAACTGCCTCTCTGGCTGACTTTCAGGCCAAGGCATGCGACGTCTTCCTACTGTAGGAGGAAACCTAGTAGTCGGAGGCGTTGGATGTAAATTTGGTGTGGTAGTCCAGACGCACCCTGGTCGACCCCCCACACACACACACAGACATGCACGTACCCATAGATTTTCCCAATTATTCAGACCTTTTGTCATACTGGCCGAAGAGCCCTTTCCATGGCGAACTTCTCCACTAGTCTCAGCGTCTTTCCACGATGGGTCCGATATCCTCGGCCGATGAAGGCTTTCGATCGCGGTCTAAACCGTAAACTCAACGGCTTCTGCAAAGAGAACCGTGATTGCTTCTAGCAGCTGCAACACTGATGAATGTACATACAGACTTCCTTGAAGTTATGCATGCTGTTCCGCACAGATTGTCAAACGTATAAAATGCAGCACTCTTCCATCCAGACGAGCGACTGTGCAGGAGGCCGAAGGTGGCATCCAGCATCTGCTTCGTGTCCTCCCGCCATCCCGGACTCCCAGCCGTTTTCCCTGGAAACCGACATCCCCAATTCGGAGCGAAATCGCACTTGACTTGGGAGCCTTGGCTCCAACACAAAGACTCTAAGAGATGTTGGGCCCAACACGAAATTGAGAACAGCAAACAGGCCACCCTAGAGCCAATATTGAAGACGAGTACCAACCAGAAAGGAATTCCAGTGATGACCCTCGGTGCTCGGGAACGGAGCCTCTACAAGTACAGTATCCAGCCCACCACAGCTCTGTAGCTATGTCTGCGGAAGTATTAAAGACCATGCTTCACGTCAGCCAACTGCGTGAAGGAGCAGAGTGTTAGGCTCTAGTTCACACTCACAACGAACTCTGACCCTAGACCTTTTAATCCCACTCATTACAGCCCTGAAAAAAAACTAAAGCATCAACCAGGGAGTAGCGAGAGTCCTCGGAAAGCTGGCTGTCATCCGGGAGGTTGTTGTCCTCGGACGTTTTCGGGTATTGGGGCCTGGGGCATTAGGGCTTTGGGGTCTTAGGCTTGGGTCTTATAGTATGGAGGTGTGGAAGGTTTGTAGTGTAGGAGTAACTCTTTGTGAGGCGACCGCAGAACCACAGAGCAACGTGTTTGACAAACAGTACTGCCGCAGCCGCAAAGGCTGGCAATTCGGTCCTCGTTCGTCTTCTGGTTCAGGGCTTGCACCTTCTGGTTCAGAGAACCTCGGATGGACTTGTGGGAGGCGAGCGGGCGTGGCCTTTGTCACATGCTGACAGACAGCTTTCGAACATGAGCAATGCATAGGCTGAATAGGGCACCTGGGGGACGGGCTTGAGGACCACATGGGCAGCACTGCCACAGCGGATCTAGTCTTGGGCTTTTCGTTTGCAAAGCCAGGCGGTCTCCCCTTAGCCTACGTAGAATGTCAGAGATGGAAGGCCAGAGCTTTCCAAGCAGCTGATGTCATGACTCATTTTCACCCGCCTCACACCGCTGTTCCCAGTGAGCACCGACCGCTTATCGTCCAACTCTTGGATGATCTGCTTGCCTGTCCACTCACAAACGGGGACCCTTTTTGCAGTCACACTCTAGAAAACACTCGAGCTCACAATCTAATGTGGGCGCATGCCGCATAACGCTACTATGTTTAGAAGCCACAGTGTGGGATCCGAACAGGATGAGTTCATGTTCCTGGGTGAATTTTGGCGAGGTTCTTGGCTGGATGTGAGACCTATGCTAGTGCAAAGAGGACCCTCCTCGAGCGGGATGATGTTGGACGGTGCGCTGTTTGAGGGTTCGTGTTTTGCCTGCTTTGCCGAGCCCTTCGCGTTTTCCAAACCCTAAACCCTTTATTTAGTGAAGCTGAAAGTGCAAGGGTTGTTTGGGCTATGCGAATCCTGGCCTTCCTCCTCCATGCTCAGGAGCACTTCCTGGGACGTGCGGGTCGACTCAGGTTCCGGGTGGCTCATCCCCATACAGGACCGAGCAGAGGGAAAGCAAGATGTGACCATGTTCTACTGCTAAACGCAAACCGCCGATTCAGAAGGCGTAGTTAACGTTCAAGGATCCCTCGGCTGAAAAGGGGCTTGTTCTACAGGCCCTCCAAGAGGGTTCCCACAAGCGAACCATGCCAAAAAGCCACGTCGATGTTGGAAAAGCACGCATTGACATGAAGATTGTGCGCCCCCCCCCCCCCCCCCC